AATATAATAATCGACTGCATTTACTAGAAAATATCTGAGGAAACTGTCCAATTATATTACTTGGTGTTAACTACATAAAAAATGGAGAAATTCCTTTCGGAAGACGGTACCAGGAAGTTTGTCATCCTGGTAGAACTGGTATGTTTTTCTCTTTTGATTAAGGCTGTTTAGTATCTTAGAGCCAATTAAAAGCTTAATTAGGGCAACCACATTTATATCCATGATGAGCACTCTTCTTTGCCAATTTTACTTTATTTTGCTAATTTGTTTCTTTTGTCATTTCAAAATAAGGTATGTATGCATGCAACATATATACAGAATAAAATTATTCATAATAGGCAGAAGTTGCTAGTATGACAGGTATAAATTTAAAAATCTAGGCTCAGAAAACCATGTTCCTTGAGCCCACAGAATAAAGTGATTTTAAAAAATGAGATTAACACCTGACTTGTTCTAATTAAATGGGACACAACATGTGTGAACACACATTGTAAAACAAATTTAGGCACTAGTTATCTGTACTTCTGTAATTCAATTTCTAATCTCAGGTAATCTACTTTATTTGGCTAAAATTTAATGTTTCCTGGTTGCAAATCAGCAAGACAAGGATTTTGAAATTTTTACATTATCAGAGCAATTCATTCATGACATCATTTTTACCCTTATTTGATTACCCAGATTTTAGTTTTTGCTGACAGTTTTAATTATTCCATAATCCCAGTATGTGCATACTCTCTTAGGACAGAAGTTTCTAACTTTCCTGAGTTCTACCTTCAAGTATTCTTGTGTATCAGAAATGATCTGAAGTGAAGTCTAACAACAAACATGAGGCTGTAGTGAGTCAAACAACAAATACGTTAATTTCAAGATAAAAAAATACCATCTGAATAAAAACTCTGCAGCTATGAGTATACCTTCTTATCTCAATTTTTAAAAGGCACCCAAACAAAAGCTTCAACATTATATAAGACAGCATTATTAGAGCTCTATCTTACAAACTCTGGGCTGAAGACCTGGGAGAAGTCACAGTAACTAGAAGAGACCCACAAATCCAAACATGCCAAGCATTGTGTGCAGACTGAACAATTCACTAAGACTTTTCAGATGTTTGCTACAGAACTTTACATTCATTTAAAAGCATTTATTTCATGGAAAACTTTTTGTTTTCTCAATAAATGGAAATTAAAGCATAACTAATGATGAAGGGGATCATAAAAATATTTTAAAGTTAAAAGGAACTAATTTTTTAAAAAGATAGGAATCTACTGCTTTAGTGGTTAATTGCAAGGTTGTAATGCTGGATAGTCCTAAATATGAAACCTGCCTCTTTCTACTTTTACTAGCTGAATGACCTTGGGAAGGCCTTAACCTTGGTAAACACAGGCTGACTGTGTTCTATATTGGTCAGAACTTGCCTGGAAAGTTAGAATAAATTCTGTGCATTAATTACAAGGTGGGCAGAAGAGCACATAGCCTACAAAAACAGGACTTTTTAAATGTCTAACATTTGAAGGGTTATCAGGTAGATTAGAGGAATTAGGTTAGGTTTAAATTATACTATTTCAAGCAGGGCGCAGTGGCTCATGCCTGTATTCCCAGCACTCTGGGAGGCCAAAGCGGGCAGATCACTTGAGGTCAGGAGTTCCAGACCAGCCTGGCCAACATATAGTGAAACTCTCTACTAAAAATACAAAATACAAAAATTAGCTGGGTGTAGTGGTGCACGCCGGTAGTCTCAGCTACCTGGGAAGCTGAGGCAGGAGAAAGCTTGAATCTGGGAGGCGGAGGTTTCAGTGAGCCAAAATTATGCCACTGCACTCCAGCCTTGGTGACACAGGGAGACTCTGTCTCTCAAAAAAATAAATAAATTAATTAATTATAAATTATACTATTCCCAATGACAGAATTAAGAAGTTATAGAGAAGCAAATTTTGGCTACATTTAAAATGACTACCTAATAATCAGTCACCCTACACTGGAAGCTGCTTAAGGAAGTCTTTACAAGCAGTCAAAAAAATCAAGCTGAGGCTAAGACCACCTATTTGGCATTTGGTACAAAGCACACAGCACCGGAAAACTGATGTGAATAACCTCAATAGTCTTTTCCAAGTTTAAGGAGGACTGCCATGACCAAGAGAGTTATTTCATATTTGTCACTTCATTTTCATAATCTCTAAAATCAACACAATATTTTAATGAGGAAACTGAGGACAAGAGCTTAATTTGATCATGGACTACAGTGGGTAGGTGGCATAGCTTATTTTCAAATTCATTATGTTTGATTCAATTTAGGCTCTTTCCAATATAGTAATATTTGCTGATCTCAACCTTAACTCACAGAATTACCTATAGAACCTTAAAAAAAATTCCACATCCAAACCACATTCCATACCAATTAAACTGGAATTCACAGGAAGGGAGACCCCTTACGGTATGTAATGCTCCCAAGTGATCCCAATGTGCATAGCCATGATTAAGAACCACTGCTATATACAAAGGGTTGGCAAGTTTTACTGGAACATACCTACCTTCATTTGTTTACATATTACAAATGACTGCTTTCATGTCACAAGTGGCAGAGTTGATGAGCTGATTTTTATGGCCAACAAAGGTGAAAGTCTTTTTTTTTTTTTTTTTTAACTGTTTTAGCCCTTTACAGTAAAAATTCGCCAGTCCTTGGCTCTAAATCATATTTTACCCTAACCATAACGCTCGAGACCCATTTTTTTTTTCCAAACAACATTGGTGACACTGATAGAACCAAATTTGTGAGTTAAGCAAGGTTCGGATACCAAACTGGTAACAACGAAATGAAAACGATCCTTTTTAAGAGATGGCTGGGCACGGAGGCTCACACATGCAATCCCAACACGTTGGGAGGCCGAGGTGGGTGGATTTGAGGTCAGGAGTTTGAGATCAGCTTGGTCAACATGGTGAGACCCCATCTCTAGTAATAATACAAAAATTAGCCAGGCATGGTGGCATGTGCCTGTAATCCCAGTTACTTGGGAGGCTCAGGTAGGAGAATCGCTTGAACATGGGAGGCAGTGGTTGCAGTGCACCAAGATTGTGCCACTGCACTCCAGCCTGGGAAACAGAGTGAGACTCCATTTAAAAACAAAAACAAAAACAAAAACACACAGACGTAAGAGATAAAGTATGTTAGACCACCAATTAATTTACGATAGAACTAATCCATTGATACAACCATGGCTAGGAAATACTTGATAAAAATTGCTAGTAATATTATTTTTGAAAGTATGCATTGTAGTTCATTATTAATGCTTTTCTTTAAATCACTCCAATTATATGTGGCATTAATTTTTTAAATGGGGTTACTGCTGTTGCCATCAAACAACCACTACACCCAAAAGATCTTATTTATTCTTTAAGGAAAAGTATGTGTATTTAAAAACACTACAGGGTTCCCACCATACTGTTAAATAGGAATAATCCATACAGCAGGAAGACAATGTAGCTCTAATAAGAAATTTGTCAAGGTCTTCTATATAATTAAGACAAAACAAAGTGCTGGCTAAGGAGTCTATCTACCCTTAATATTTTATTTAACTAAATTGTCTCAGGGATTTTATTGTTAAAACTTGATATAAAGTACAAGGAAAAAGATCAACAAATAGTATTCATTATATATACACACTAGCTGATTTTTACACAGTAAAAATTTCACACACACACACACACACACACACACACACACACACACACAAACTCCTACGTCTGAAAGCTAACCCAAATCTAAAAAGTCAGAGGAACATTTCACAGGATTACTATGGCATTTTGCCCTCTGGCAACTAAAAACAGTGATTCCTTTAACAGAAAATACTCCATCCTCAAATGACCACCATCGTGTAAATTAGACACTGAACAGTTATGGTGCTTTGAAGTGAAAAAAACAAGCATTATGACAGTGGTGGACAAGCCTCGGGTATGCACAGGAAACCTCAAACCCACTGAGCTTCTTCAAATAAAGATACACACAGTCAGATTAAACTAAAGACTTAACAATCGTCTTCTTCTTTTAAAAAAATTCCCACTATCAATGTGATTCTCTAAGATTCCTATATAACTTTTGGAGGGAAATATATTGAGGAGAAAGGCCTCAGAGGCTTTGCAACTAATGCAAAGGTGAATGAAAATCAGGTGACAGTGGACAAAGAAAATAGCTTCTAGTGTGAGAACAGAACAGCAGCTGCTCTAGGCCAGATGTGGTGACTCATGCCTGTAATACCAGCACTTTGAGAGGCTGAGGCAAGCGGATCACCTGAGGTTAGGGGTTCGATACCAGCCTGGACAACATGGTGAAATGCCATCTCTACTAAAAATACAAAAATTAGCTGGGTGTGGTGGCATGCACCTGCAGTCCCAGCTACTCAGGAGGCTGAGGTAGGAGTACTGCTTCAACCCGGGAGGTGGAGTTTGCAGTGAGACTCCAGCCTGGGCTACAGAGTGAGACTCCCACTCAAAAATAAATAAATAAATAAATAAAAACAGAAGAACAGTAGTCCTAAATAAACTAGAATACCATAATCTCATAACTGGCAAAATTCTTTGAAACACTTAAATATGTTTTAACAGCCAAAAATAAAATAAAAAAGGTTAAGGTGGTCTCTGAAATAACAAAGTGATTATATATTACAACTAAAGATTCCATCTTTCCCAGCACTGGGTATAAAATAGTGAGCACAGAGGCTAAAAATGAGGAAAGTCAAAGACCTATACATGCAGCAGAGTCCACGTTCCTTAACAATATATGCAATACCTGGCTATTAATACATGTTTTGATAAACTCACATATATATGTGTTGAAAAAAGACAAAGAAAATATACTAAATATGTAATGCATTTGAATGATGTCCCCTCTTCTTTTGTAAACTTTAGTATTACTTTATAATTAAAATAATTCAATTAAAAATATACTTCAAGGTTATATCCAACTAGAATTAAGAAGAACAAGGAAGTATCTTTGTATATATATTTACCTGGTTCTTCCTTGATGAGTAGTGTATTTTCTTCTGGATAGGCAACAGGTGGCTGCATCACTGAGCAATCTTCTAAATTCGTTTCATTATTAGGTGGAATATTATAAATAAATCTTTTTGTAGTTTGGTTTTTCCTCCTTGTTTTGCCAGTCTCTTGAATTCCCTGGGAGCCCATATTATTCCAAATAAACACTTTTGTTTGACCTTCAGATTCATTTTCAGCCATTTCAGGAGATCCATCCTGGACCCAACTACTGTCATTCATTTGGTAGTTTTCTATTTGGCCCTCGTCGACATTACAACCATCATTTTCAACCTTTACACTGCTTGCCAAATTGGTAAGATTCCGTGTTGCCCAAAAACTGGCAATTTTTTGATCCCGTGATGAAGACAGACCATCTCTATTAACTGGTTTTCTATTATTATAGTCCACAACTACAGACTCTGGAGCTTCTGATTTAATGCTTATATTTAAGGCATCTTTAATGAAATTTCGGCAAGTTTGAACAACTTCACTCATCTGAAGATAGCTGGCCACTGTCATAACTTCAATGGCATTTTGGCTTGTGAGCACCAGGTTACCAGAATACAAGAAGTCCAAGATGACTGAAAAACCTTGAACTGCAGCAATATCTAAGTGGGTAGTATTGTTTTGGTTAGGGCTTTCTTTGTTTGAAAAGCAATATAAAGTCTTAAAGAAACGGCTGCCTGCAACCAGGATGTTCTTATGAGCTTTGAAGATTTTTCCGCTTACCACAATGCTGACATCACAAAGAATACCTTTCTTTCTCTGTTCATTTAGTTGTCGCAGAAGTTGATAGCAATAAGAGTTCTCATTTGGCCTACTATTAAAGTCACAGTACCCCTCTTCTGATGGTATTTCTGACTCCTGTAATTGGATAAAAAACATTAGTATTAAACTCTATTGACTTTTTAAAAAACTCCCAAACCAAGGAAAACAATTATCAAGCTTTTAAAAAGCGATAATCAAATCTATTAATCTGTCAGTAATCAAGAAAGAGAGTGAACAATGGTGGTGCAACCCACTGCTATTATTTAAAAAAAAAATCAACACATCTGACTGAAGATCAGCAGGATTTCATTTTAAAAATAACATTCATCATGTTATATCTTTCAAATATAAGCTAAGAATATAAATTGAGGATTTCTTAAAATTAAAAAGAGCAATTATTTTCTTCAGAAAAGAAACTTTCATTTATAGGAATTAAATGAGTTTGCTTTATCTCTGATAGGAAAGCAGCAGTCTCCCCTGATTGAACTTAAACTATCCAAGTTATATTTTGTGCTAGGCATATCACCCTGTCTACCATTAATAAAAAGGTAAATTTTAAGTCTTGGCAAACATTAAAATCAAACAGTTTAGGTCAATGAAGTTAATTAACTCTAACTAGAGATAAAGGTAAGACCCTAAGGGGAAAATCTGCTTCAACTGCAGGAATATCTAGTTATATAATTTCCTGTCAACTTTCAAAACGATTTATCTCTTTAGGGTCATAAATACTATAAACTGTAAGGTAAATTAAAATTCCTGAATTCAAAATTCTAAATGTTTATAAATTTTGCTTCTTATCATACAGGTATTCATTATAGACCTACTTGCAGTCACAATTAAAATTGTGTGATATAATCGTAAGAGTATGAGCTAGAATTCAGAATGCTGTCTGTACCAGCTATTAACTGCGTATCCTTGGAAAGTCACTATCCCCGAGCCTTTTCCCTAAACTATAAATCAGTATTACAAATGTTAGTTAAAACTTTATGACTTTCCTCAAACAGTGACTAGGTGGGTAAGCTCCCTCAAGGCAGAGCTGAATATCCCCTCCAGCACTTTGATTAAATATCCCCTCCACACTTTGCTAAACAACTGAAGTAATCATCTCTTTCCCAAGAGGTAAACTGCTTAGACCATTTCTAGTAGAAAAGATAACTGAAAATACTGACCTTATTCAAGTGTCAATTCTTTGGCACAAAATATTAAGTTAAACATAGACCATTTCTATAAAATAATAAAATATATACACATATACATGGATCTATGATTTTACAAGCATGGAGAAAAACGTGGAGAAATAAATACTAGAGTGTAAACAGGTTCAAAGGACTGACATGCTTAGAAGAGAGGAAGTGGTGTAGAGAAGACAGGACTGCAAAAGAAGTCTCACAAACAATATCCTAAATGGTGGATCCCTAAACAATCACAAAATGTGACTTAATGCAATCACATGCATGGCTAAATCATAAAAATTTTAGCTTTACTTGAGTCCATGTCACAGGAGGCCACACACACTGTCACACTGTCATCTCAATTCTCTGAAACTAACTCAGTCCATCTAAAAATTATAGTGCTGCTCCCACATATGAGAAGTCAACTGAAAGAACCAAAATATTAATATTCCAGGACACAGCCAGGTGCGGTGGCTCACGCCTGTAATCCCAGCAGCTTGAGAGGCTAAGGCGGGTGGATCATTTGAGGTCAGGAGTTCAAGACTACTCTGGCCAACATGGTGAAACCCCAAACTCCATCTCTACTAAAAATACAAACTTTAGCTGGGCAGTAGTGGAGTGCGCCTGTAATCCCAGCTACTTGGGAGGCTGAGGCAGAGGTTGCGGTGAGCCAAGATCGCATCACTGCACTCCAGTTTGGGCAACAGACTAAGATCCTGGCTCAAAAAGAAAAAAAAAAGATTCCAGGACACACTTCAACTGTTTCACTGTGAAAATAGAATAGTATGAAAAACCCTGCGAATCTGGAGTATATGATCACTTCAGAATGAAGCACACAAAGTAGAGAAATTTCCTCATTTTCGACGACTCCTTGGCAACCTTCCCATTCCCTTCTGGTACCAAGTGCGTAATGCTCTTTTACCAAAAAACTCCCACCCATGCCCCCCCACCATATAATAATGTTCCATGCTCTAAATTAGGTATTTTCTCCTCCTACCAAAACATCCAATTCTGCAAAAACTGTTAAGTCACGGATAGAGGAATCAGAACAAGTCCATTCATGAGTAATACCCTTATTTTTGTTTTTGGGGAACAGCAGAAAGGAAGTAACGTAATAATGAGACTTATTTAACCTAAGCTTTTGTATTAAACCAGTATGTTGTATTGGATTGTTGCAAATACTTGCTTAAAAAAAAAAAAACAGTATGTTGTGAAAGTTCGTATGTAGCAAAGAGGAAAGAAACGATTTACTACTTGTGTGAAAATGTCAAGAATGATACTGAAAACACCTATAACAATTACTTGGACAATGTAACTTTCTACAAAAGCATCATTCTGTTTACTTGGTTTCCCTTTTGAGACTGAGTCAATTTTTTTGCCTATGCTCTCTACAGAAATTCCAAATAAGGGGGAAGAATCTTGCTTTGATGCAGGCCCAACACTAAGCTTTGTTACACAAGCTGTACCTGAACCCAAGCTCATGTGGTTCAATGTTCTATCTACTATATATTACAGTAAAAGTATGAATATTGTATGAATATTTGGAAGAAGCAAAATTTTCAACACTGAATATCTGGCAGCATATACCCATGAAGTGTTTGTGAAAGCAGTGAATCAGCATGCACAAGTCAAGAACTGCCTAAAGTTCATATATCAAACAGTTGAAAACACTTCAGGAGGTGGCTATGTCTATTGTAGCAGTCATAATAGGCTATGGTCACTGCACTCTGAATTTTCTGGGCCAGTGCCAATTGCTAAGATTCTCTGCCTTTACCATACCAGATGTTCTAATTTTTAGAAGTAACTAAGACAAAAGCCTATCCATCAAAATATCTGCCCATTCTACTCTGACACAAACTGTACAAATTAAACACTATTCAACCACTATTTTTTTTTCTCATTACTACGGTACAAGAACATTAATGCCGCTTGCTTTTATAACCAGTAACAGCAATTTCTTGTTTACCACTGATTAAAGCACTATTCCATATGTCTGCAGCAGCTATTAAATATGCCCTTCAAAAAAAAAAAAAACAAAAACCACACAAATAAATATGCCCTTCGAAAAAATGAATCATTTCCAAGAGTACGTGTACTCTCTAAGGAGATTATTATTAAAGGATTTGGGTAAAAGAGCTAAATAAGTACAAAGCACTAAAAAACTGCCAATATTATTTGCTGAACTCAACAAATTAATAAATTCTTAGTGCCAGAGACAAAATCTTAAATAGGTCCCTAATAACTCCAGGTATTCTTTGCGTCTTTAGATCCTTCTTTAATGTTCTATGTCCACTTTTAGTATACCGATAACATCAGATATCACTGATAAGTTTTTAAAAAATTACTATATCCACAACTGGTCTTTTCAAATGTAGTGGCCTTTTCTAACCTCTCTCCCAAAAAGGACAACACAATTAGCCCTGACATTATAGTCTAAACTGGCTAAACAAGGAGATTTTAAAGAAACAGACATTCAGAGCTAAATACGAAATCTTGAATTTTTTCATTTGTGAAGATGCCCGTTAGCAAAACTTTAGTCTGGATGAGACCTCAATATCAAGTCTTTTAAAATTTAGAAAACATAGATAAGTGTCCATTTATTAAAATCCTTATAACCTGTTATCTAGATGTTCAATATTTAAAGAACATAGGCTACAAAATAGTAAATATTTTACTCAAACGAAAATGCTTGAAAAGCCCTAACTTTACGCATTTATTTAATAAGCATTAAATGAATGCCTACTTTGGCCTGGGTCTACACTGGGAACCAAAATGATTCAGTTGCTAATTTGAAGTTACTGTTAGTGGGTAAGACTCTTAAGGTGGTGTAAGAGCAGAAAGCAGGTGTATCTAATCCAGTTTTTTGTTTTTTGTTTTTAAAGTATGGGGATGCTTTTTGGAAGAAACAAGACCTGAGCAGAGCTTTAAAGGATCCAAGAGTGGGATGGGTGGATGAGCACTTCAGGTAAATGAAATAGCATTAAAAACAAAACAAAACAACAAAAAAAATTCAGCATTTAAAAAAACATAAGGTGGTCTATAACATCCTCAAAAGTTCAGATTTGTAAAAGAATTTCAATGTGATTTTCTAAACAGCCCTATGGAATGCAAATATGCACTTGGGCACATTTCAGAGGTAAATGTCCATCCATTTTGACCAGATTATAAAGAGGGACATATAATCCCAGCACTTTGGAAGGCGACAGGATGGCTGGTAGCCAGGAGTTCAAGACCAGTCCAGTCAACATAGCAAAACCCTATCTCTAAAAAAAAAAAAAAAAAAAAAGAAAAAAAAAAGATGTGAACCCCCTTCCCCCTCCCAAATATTAGAACCATTGCTATTGGCACCTTACAGAGTTTTCAGAAGCAGTGATATAATTGAAATAACAAAGAGAAGAGATGACTATGGCAGCAAGGTAGAGATTTATTATCAGGGAAAGAAGACTACAGATACCGTGACCAGTTGGAAAGCTAATTTTCCTTTTTTTTGAAACAGTGTCACTCTGTCACCCAGGCAGGAGTGCAGTGGTTAGATCATGGCTCATTGTACCCTCAACCTCCTGAGTTTTATTCTCCTGTCTCAGCCTCCCAAGTAGCTGGGACTATAAGGTGTGTGCCACCATGCCCAGTTATTTTATTTTTTAAATTTTTTGTAGAGGTAAGAGTCTCCCTGTGTTGCCCAGGCTGGTGGCAAACTCCTGGACTCAAGCAATTCTCCCACTTCGGCCTCCCAAAGAGATAAGATTACAGGTGTGAGCCATGTACCCTCTGGAAAGCTACTGTGAACAGCGCAACATACTTACAAGAAAAAAAGACCTTAATTAGAGAAGATAGATGTCAATGAGGTGTCAAGCAGAGCCTACAAAAATAGTCTAAAAATCATCAGAACTTGCATGATAAAACAGATATAAGAGGTGGAGGGAG